TAGTTTTTTTCAGATATGTCGTCTATTGTCGGGTGCATTCGTAATAACCCACAAGTCAGTTGTTGTCGATCAAAATTCGCCTTAACCTTTATCTGGACCGCTGACACCTTAACATTTGATAGCCAGGGAAGTAAAATCACGAAGTCACGTATCACTACAAACTGCTTAGAGTAGGAAAAGACCATATTTTGCAAGGCCGAGCACATATTTTACTTAACAAGACTCGACATAATCTCGACAGTACTTAACTGTACTTAAACGTACTCAACTTTGGTCTCGGCTTTACTTAGAAAGTCTTATTGAGTACGTGATAATCTTGGTATAGTCTGAATATGGTCTCGACTAGTATTGACCTGTTTCGACTCAGTACCTTTACACTTAGTCTCGACTGATCTGAATCGGCCCATCTATCTCAACTATATATTGATCTTACAAAATTCAATTTGGTTTATTTCTGTCAAATTCTATGATTTAATCAATAGGTAAAAGAGCAAACATTTTTAGTTTGGACCAATTTATGATAGATAACTGTGATTTAAATTCTAACATTTAACTGCAATAAACAAAACTACCAAATAACCTGGCATTTTGTAAGATCAATATGTAATTGAGATAGCTGTACAGTTTTATCAAAATCCAAGTTGATTTACAAAAAGTTATACAAATGGTAAAGGTGACCTTCTGAATTAAGTCTGAACTGAAAATTCTAGCTTTTTACCTACTTATAAAATCCTTAAATTTGACCACAATAAACCAAACTACCAATTTACTTGGAATTCTGTATGATCAATATTTAATTGGGATAGCTGTAGTGTTATATGTTAAACCAAGTTGATTTGAAACAATTATAGAAATTTTGAAAGATGACTATCTGAATTTAGTCCCAATGAAAATTCTAGCTTTTTTAGCATTTAATTAAATCTTTAACTTTGACAGCAATGAACCAAACTACCAAATAATTTGGTGAAATTTGTAAGATGAATATAGAGTTGAGATAGATGTGGTGATTCCGACTAGTCGAGACTAAATATAAAGATCAAGACTGAGTCGAGACAGGTCAAGATAGGTCGAGACTGGTCGAGACTAGTCAAGCATTTGTCGAGACCATATTCAGACTGTACCAAGATTATCAAGTAGTGAATCTGACTAATTAAGTAAAGTCGAGACCTTAGTCGAGTACGGTTAAGTACAGTAAAAGTGCTGTCGAGATTATATCTAGTCTGGTCAAGTAATATATATGCTTGGGCTAAAAATATTGTCTTTGAGCAGTTTGTAGTATAATAAACTATATATCCAAAAGGGGCAACAAAGAAGAGTCAAATGAATCTAAGGACAAATTTCCCCCAAAAAGTTCTAACTCGTCAGGCAGAGGTAACCTTAGATGAATTTGGCCATTCTTGTATGTCATTGTTGGTTATATAGTTCTTTTTACACATCCTGGCATTCCAATTAAGAGCGCTTCGGATGCACAAAACGTAAAATAACGAAAACAAATAGTTTTCAGTATTATTTCAAATTATAAACACTGAGTCGATATCAACATAATCATGTTTGTTCCCGATTGTTTCATAAGCTTACTTTTTTCGGTGCTGTCATTATTTATAATATACTAGAAGAGGGACTACAGTCAAACTGCCGTGTGCAAAACTTTTCATGTTACGTGGTACGTTTTTAGCTTCCGTTTGGCAATTCTAAATATTGTAAATGATCGATTTGTACTTGTTTTAAAATCAAATGTACTCTTGACAATGTATTGAAATTAAGAATAAGATAAACAACAAAATTAAATGTGAGAAACGAGATAAATCGACGTATCAGACACTGCAGTTATATATTTCTTCTATGCAGTTGATGGTTTTTTTTTTTATTTCGTGGACAGGTTACTCTATACGTTTACACCGTGGTGTTGTTACTATTGACAAACTGTTCAGCACACTTGAAAAAAAACAAACACAAATACAATACTAATTATAAAATGAATAAACTTATCACAGATACCAGTATCAAAATGTTTCACCCAAAACGCGCGCTTTATCTTAACTAGACTCATCGATGACACTCGAATCAGCAAAGTTATAACGACTTACTTAATCGGCATTGAAGACACCATCTTCGCTAGCCAAGGGTAACGATCCACTTCCCTCCTCTCCACCCTTGGCGAATTGACATAGAATTTCGGATACACAAGGTAATGATTTTCATTGGTTGCAGTCGAAACTCACTGCATCCAATCATAAAAGCGCCGATAACATGATCACGTGTAAATGTAGAAAGTGTATGTAAACAATTGCCACGTGCTTATTGTGCAACAAGTCTTTACATCCCTAAACATACGACTATATTTAGTGACAATTTGAATGTTTTTAATCAACTAATTGAAGTTCCTGTGTAAGTTTCTTGTACAAATGCATTAATGTCAAAGTATATTTTCGTTTCCTGCTTCAAGTGCTACCATTGGTCAAGAATAATGTATTGGAAATGGGCGTGACTTTAATCTACATATAGATGGCGCAACATTGTTATCACACATGTTGGCTTATTCTGCCAAGGGTGAAGAGGAGGGAAGAGGATCGTAACCCTTGGCTAGCGAAGATGTGAAGACACAAAATTTCGAAAGTTTTGACAAAAAATAAAATAACACAAATACCGAACTCCGAGGAAAATTCTAAACAGAATGTCACTAATCAAATGACAATACTAAAAGCTCAAACACATCAAACGAATGGATGACAGCTGTCATATTCCTGACTTTATACAGGCATTTTCCTATGTAGAAAATGGTGGATTAAACCTGGTGTTACAGCAAGGCAATCTATTCAAAAATTTGAGGTTTGTAAACAGTTAAAGATATAATAATATAAATGATTTTCGTTTGGCCTTGCTTAGATACATGGATAATGCATATACACAATTATCAAGTGTAGCCTTCTCAACTTTGCAATAGCAAACGAAAACAAAAACTTGTTTGTTTCTATTGATTATTTTGTCCATTTCTTGACCATAAGAGTACTTAAATAGGAAATGGAAGAATATTCTTATTTAGATAGCTCATAACGCTATGCCACGGTTACCTGAAATTGAGTACCTGTAAATAAACTATTATCGCATATTCTTATTTTTGCGTTTATCAGGTCATGAACATTTCGCTGCTTTTTTCGCGATTAACCCTCTCTACCCTGTTTTAAACAATGACAATAAAGAATCTGTACTTCTATTGTCACTGACTAAAAAATGACTGAATATGAACTGAATTCACGAACCTGTGCATTTTTAAATATTGTTCTGTTGTATCATTTGACAGTCACGTAATTATACTCATCATAGATTATAGGATTACAATTGTGTATGCCAGACGCGCGTATCGTCTACAAAAAAAACTCATCATTGTTTGTTTTGTTCACACATCGTTGTCAATATAATGGAATTGTATGCGACTGTCATACAAGTGAGAGGTTATGCTAGCTATAAAATCAGGATTAACCCACCATTTTCTACATAGGAAAATGCCTGTACCAAGTCAGGAGTATGACAGTTCTTATCCATTCGTTTGATGTGTTTGAGCTTTTAATTTTGCCATTTTATTACAGACCTTCCGTTTTGAATTTCCCTCGGAGTTCGGTATTTTATTTATTTTACTTTTTTTACCCTAATTTCCCAAAAAATCGCCCGATTCGGACAAAGATCGGGGATAAATTCCTTATCTACGTTAATATCCGTAGATATGGGTATTGTAACACCCTTCAATACCATATACTCCCTTCGGCTTCGCCTCATAGTGTACTGGGGTATTTCAGGGTGTTACAATACCCATATCTACGGATATGAACGTAGATAACTTATTATATGTTGATGATGTTGAAATGCATCTACACATATTCTTTGTTTTATATACACATAAAGTTTTGAAACTATTTTTATAGTTTGTTCTTATGCTGTGCTGTTACGCCACTATCAAATGTTATAGGGAGGGTTGAGCGCTCACAAACATGTTTAACCCCGCCACATTATTTTTGTGCCTATCCCAAGTCAGGACACTGTACATGTTGCTCCGTGGTTGTCGATGGTTCATGTCGGTCTTATTTGTTCTCGTAAATTGTTTTGTTATAAATTAGTTAGTTTTCTCAATTGAATTGTTTCATATTTTTCATGTCAGAGCCTTTTAAAGCCGACTATACGATAAGGGGTTTTCTCTTTGTCGAAGGTCGTACGGTTGCCTATAATTGCTTACATCAATTTCATTGAACTTTAATGGATTATTGTCTAATTGGCAGTTATACCACATCTCTTTATTTTTATATGGTGTATCATTTTCATATTAACATATATTCTTTTTTTTTATATTAACCTGTGACGCACAGTTCATAATTCTATTGTGCTGTATGTGTGTACTGTCGTAAATTAATTTTAGGTGTTCGTTGTTATTCTGTGATTTACACTTTGAAATGAACTTTATATTATTTATTTATGTATTTCTCTGTCCTGAGTGTTGTTTGTACTGTATTCCTGTCACGTAATGATGTCATTCAAGCGGTATTTGTAACATTGCCATATAACCGGGAGGTTTGGCTAGCCATTAGACACGGTCCAACCCGCCAATTGTTTTCTTAAAATGAGTTGTACTTAGTCAGGAATATGGCAGATGTTATCACATAGTCCGTTTCTAAGTATGTTGGCGTTTGTTTTTGTAGCAGTTCAGTGTTTCTGTTGTCCCGTTTTTTTTTGTTTTTTTTTCTCTTATAGTTGATTTGTTCTCCTCAGTTGGTTTGTTACCCGGATTTGTTTCTGTCTCGATTTATGACTATTAAACAGTATACTGCTATTGTCCTGATAAATTGAATAAAAAATAGATGGAATTTTAATTACCGATTGTAATTTTTTTTTTATTTTATTCAACAGAAGTTTAACTTAATATCCTGCAGGAAATACACATTTATTATACAAGTAGGAAAGGGGAAAGATAATCATAAAATCAAGAGAAATTTACATAACTCGTTTCACGGGAAATTAATACCAAGTGATTCTTTAGATATACTATACCTAACATTGTTGAATACTTCCTGTCATATCTTGTTCTGATAAGAGAATAGTTTATTTAAGTTTAAGTGATGTATTGCTGAAATACTTTGCTTTACATTTGCTACAGGTATGTGATCTTTCTATTTATTTTTTCATTTTATCATGTACATCATTTTACCGACCAAGAAAAATGGGTGAATATGGAGACACGAAATATAAAACGTTCAATATTGGTTTTAATAATCATTTTGCCAACGCCAATTTGATTTCATTCGATTTTGTTTTTGTTTTTTATTTTTCAACATACAAATGGAAAGGTAAATCGTAGTGACCAAGACAAGTGATGGCATTTGTTGCTAGCATTTTATTAAGTGTTCTGTCCCTATTATTAATTAGTTTCATTGATGAATAGGAAGGTTTCATGTAAATGATTTAAATCCAAATTATGCTAAATGTAATATTAATACACACATTTAGTGATTCACGATAAAATAAAAAATTGATAACAACACGTAGAAGATCATAATTGATAATATGACTCCAGAATATCAAAATTTGAAATAAAGCGTTGATCTTAGAATTGACCTTGACTTCTCCTTTTTCATGCACCTGGTTTCGCAAATTTTAGAATATATTCGATTCATTGATTTAGTTTACGTGAATTGTATCTGATTAATTAGCTTATGAGATTGGAAAATCGTTCTTTACTGTTGCCTGTTCTTTCGCATTAATCATGAATATATTCTTATTTGCAATGGAAATCTTTTTAGTTCTATAATTCGTTTGTTTAAACCTTTCTTTTTTGATCTGATTTATATAGACGGAGGTGAGATAATAGTTTTATTCCATGAAACAGTTGCACCTAGCGGTGGTTTGAATAATTAACTGTTTATAGAATATGTCTTTTATTAACTTACAATGGGCTGCTGGTATACTATTGGACTATTAATCCAAACCTCCGATTTGTGGTTTTCCATTGTTTGATTTTTGAATATTCATAATGATGATAAACCATGAATAGCCTTTCGGACGGCCGAAATTTATTAAGTGTGAATTTGATTTTGTATAGATACAGTTAAATCCGAAAACCCTTTTACATGTAGTAGATGGATATACATGAATTAAAAAAAAGTTCAATATTCAGTAACTGTTAACGGGATCAGTAGGTGACCATTTCCAATTTAAATGTCGGCAGCTACAAGAATGGATATTTAATTGATATGAATTTCTGAGAAGATAATATCATTTTGTCACATGTTATCCAGGTGCCCTATTTCAGAAAGGATTTAACATTTTGTGTCATATATATATATATATATATATATATATTGGTATTTCAATATTTAGTACTTTACATTAATAAATAATACAACAGCTGTAATTACAACAAAACTCGAACTGTGGTTTTACCTAGAATTCTTAAATCATTAGGAATGTGTCTTGTGTTTGTTCTGTATGCGATATGTTTTACTTACATCTTTCTATCGGGTGCTTTATCATATAGCTGTTTACAAGAATTTTTCGACTGCTCTATCTATTGTTTATATGTTCCGTTAATATAATCATTATTCAATGTGAACACTTTTGGTTTCATTTAATTGTCTTAATACCCTTTAAATCATCATATTTCAATACATCGAAAGAAACAAATATATACCACTGCTTAACCAATATCTACATACTCAAATACCGCATTCATGACATTAATTAAACTGCCGTCAATCAAATTTCCCCTTCTCATTCAGCACTTTTCATAATTATTGTGTCAAAGATGGCAATGCCTCTGCATTTAAATTATTAAACACAACTGCACTGCAAATATCCCCGTGCCATGCCAAAAATGACAACCCTGCTCTATATTTTCTTCTTGTAATACTATTAGGTGAATATTGAACGAGAGAACGTTTTTGCTATTCTTTGTTTGTGACATCATTTGGAAAATCCAAAACCTTATCAATCTGATTACTATAACTAATCGAAAGAGTAGTATAACATTAGGAGGACAAACGGGACGGGAATTTTGAAGAACACAGGAACATATATATATATATATATATATATATATATATATATCTTCCGAAAAGCAATATAATTCAACATTGAGAAAAACAAAATCGTGATATTAAATTTATAAAAATTCCAATCAGTCGGTACAATCCAGAAAAAGATAGGAAAATCACATAAACAATTTGAAGATTCCAGTAAGAATTGTGAACTGTCTTGGATTAAACGACTGCAAACAACATATCCTATTGGTTTTATATCAATATAATCGAGTAAAGGAGTATATCTTAAACTTTTAATTGTACGTAAGCTACATCGATTTTTTTTAGTTTTTTAACTCCAAGTTCTATCAAAAAACTTTTGTAATAAAACATATCAAGTGGAATGAGCTATTTTTGGATGTTTTAGATAAATTACGGTGGTCCTCTCAATTCGTTTGGCGGTTTTGACTTTTTAACTTTATAAACTATACTTCAACATAATCATATCAAACAAAAATGTATACTATTTAATTAAATGACCGATTGAAAAATCTAATTGCAAATTTATCTGCCATAACTCATATCAAGCCTACTTCTGTAATGAATAGGGAAACTATGCTAGATATAATACTTAACGTAAGTGTAATGAGATTATTAAAGCTGTTACTATTCTCCTCGACAACATAATGTCCGTTTCGGTAATAAAGTTAAGTAACAGGTTAAAGGTATTCCTTTGATATAAAAAATGATGAGGTATGATTGCCAATGAGACAATTTTTCACAAGAGACCAAATGACACAGAAATTTACATATATAGGTCACCGCACGGCCTTCAACAATGAGCAAAATCCATTCAGCATAGTCAGCATAGTCAACCATAAAAGGACCCGAAATGAAAAATGTAAAACAATTCAAACGAGAAAAACGAGAAAACTAACGGCCTAATTAATATATACTAAAAATGAACGAAAAACAAATACGTAACACAGCAACAAACGACAACCACTGCATTACAGTCTCCTGACTTCAGACAGGTACATACATACAGAATGTGGCGGGGCTAAACATGTTAGCGGGATCCAAACACTTCCCCTAACCTCGAACAGTTGTGTAACAGTACAACATAAGAACGAACTATAAAAATCAGTTGAAAAAGGCTTAACTCATCAGATGGATACAAAAAGAAATACATCTATCAAAAAGACAGGGATGACGTGGACGGGTACTTGTACATACCAACAACAAAAACACACTAAGTACAGTTCGGAGAGTTCTCGCAGTTGCTGACAGCTAGTTCAAAGCCAATAAACGATTGAGAAAAAAGATCATGGTAAATCCTTTTTTTAACAGTGATGTTGTTTATCAAGCCCATATATTTAGTTACGATCCGGGAAAAATATTATATTTTGGTTTCTTATAATGCTTTGTACATGAATAAGGACGTTGGTTTTTTCGTTTGGATTTTTTTAAAATACAATTTTGGATTTAATTTGAAGTGTCTTACTTTGCCTTATAAGATTTTCGACTTACTGGAAAATTAAAACATGTAATACATTTTATATCAATCGCAACAAACAGCATGTGCAGTTGCTCCATAAATAAGATGTAAAAACAATTACTTCTTGTGATCAATGTATTTAACTGCTGGTTGATTTTTATCAGTTTATTTTTGTCAATTTAAAGATCGACTGTTTTGTCATTTCGGGGCTGATTTTATTAAGCTTATACTTATGGATAAAATTCAGACTGGAATGCCGTATGGGGACAAATATTTCCTAACCTCTACGTAATTTGGTTTCCTGTTGATACTTTTAACATATGCAATCAAACCACATCTTCATATTTTTAAAAAGGGTCTGAAATTTGAAAATAGCTAACACATTTTGTCCAACTGTTTCGAATAGTTTCAGATAAACATTGATACTTTAATTAAAATAAATTGTGTCTTTTGAAAGGAATTAACAAAAAAGGATAAGCGAGAAATGGCCAACAATTCTGGACAGTACAACAGACAACACATCAACCACCCATTGATGTGTTTGAGCTTTTAATTTTTCCATTTGACTTTCCATTTTGAATTTTCCTTGGAGTTCGGTATTTTTATTATTTTACTTTTTCCTCCAAAAATAACCGTTCAAACACAAACAACAACGTACACATAATTGTTTAGATAGCTTGACTACGTACAAGCATATCATGGGATGAGTTTATCCAGTTTGACCTGCACATCCTCTTTCTTGTCTATTCACACCATATATTGTAGAAAGAAAACACGAAATAGTTCATTATACAATTTAGACAAAACATAAGTAATCATCATAATCTTAAAAAAAGATTATTATCATTTTATAAAAGGATGTTTTCATTAAATATATATGCTTTGATAGTATTATTCTTTCATTTCTTCAATAGCAATAGTTTGAATATTTACAATAGTATTCTAATGGCTCATACACAGAAAAGGTATTTTCGTTCTAATTAGAAAATATAATCTGCAGATTATTTCTAAGTATGCAATTTACGTGACTAGCTTTGATGTTGAATTGTATCATTTTACATGTTTTAATAATCAAAATAGTTGGAAGTTAATTTAGTACACCGGGAAAACTTGGTTTGATGTAAATAATCTCCCTGTGAAAATGGTATGACGTGATAACAGTTAAAAAGATTCAATTTATTTTGTATGACAACCTTGCTACGATATATCATTGTTAATGTTTTAATGAAATCTTAATTCTCATTTGAAAGGTATTTGACAAATAAACTTTGTATAGTAAATATGCCTTTACATGTTTTTGTAAGATAAATGCGTTACTATATGGCTCATTAGCAGTTTGAAGAAACACAGCAGTACGTAGTGGATGATATTTCGTAATTTGATTAAAGTTGAAATATTAAAGTACCGATTACAAGTTATAGTAAGAAGGTCGCAAGTATATACATTAAAAACGGAGTAAGAACAGATACGCGTTTAAAATAATCAGGTACTGCTACGCATGCATCATACAGGAATCACATTTTAAAATAAAATCATCTCGAAGGAAAAATCTCACAGTCGAACATATGATAACACTGGTATAATTGTTTGATTGACATTAGAGAATAAAACATTTTGTATACTATGAAACAAAAGTAAATCCCAAGAATATAAAAAAGCAGAATATTCATACAATGAGAACAGAATCAGAAAATCTTCGAAAATGTTATGATATAAAGCAACAAAATAAAACAAAACAAAACAGGAAAGCTAAAAAGCTGATGATTCTGCATTGAAAAGAACGCCTTTGAACAAAAAAGTTGTTATAAGACTTTAAAAAAAGTTTGCAATATACACCTGGGAGTGAAACAGCAAAATACATTTGACGATTCTAATTGATCTTAATTCAACATGTTTACATCGGTAAACTAATATCTCCTTATGTTATCGATTAACATAAAAAAAAATTGATGCGCCATCATTTCCAATGAGACAGCTCTCCAACAGAGTGCAAATGACGTGAAAGATTAGCTTGTTTCATTCCCTATATGTAAAATATAAACACTCAATCCTATTCCCTCCTCCGAATAAAATAGATCAAATACAACAATCAAACAAATGGAATGTTTTTGAAATCGTCATATTTTGTTAAGATAATATTAAATTTTAAGATGAACATAGTATGCAAGGATATTTTTGCCTCGTTTTGAATGAAACTATACTTTACTATGTAAAGCTTCAACATTTTATAAATAATGCAAATAATACCATAATAATTGTTTGAATCCTTAAATTGTTTAAAAATCAATGCAAAATAATTTCGATTTTCATATCTGTTTATGAGTAGTTTAGGAGGATCTGTTAGATTAGTGTGGTTTTCGTGGTTTTTATTTGTTCGTTTTCTGTTCAAAATTCAAAACGGAAAGTCCCTAATCAAATGGCAAAATCAAAATCTGAAACAAAGCAAACGAATGAATAACAACTGTTATATTCCTGACATATGTAGAAAATGGTGGATTAAACCTGGTTTTATAGCTAGCTTAACCTCTCACTTGTATTCCAGTCGTATACAATTCCATTATATTGACACCAAATACTGTCGCCTTAATTTATATCAATTTCATTATTAATTATTACGATTAAATTGTATCTAATTATTCTAATTTCAGCAATATGATTACAATTTTATCAGATAAAAGAAACTTAGCATAACACTATGTCTATTTATTATTTAGGCGAATTCATAAGCCATAAGGTTTGCAGACGTTGTCGAAGAAGGAGTATTATGTCTAATGATAAAGGTAAAAAGCGTTTTTGTTAAATGTGTGTCCATTCATTCCAATTTACAACGTATTAAACCATAAAACAAAAGGTAAAAAACAGGGATACGACAGAAATAAAACTGAAATCATCATGCCCAAATTTACCTTTTTTACAAAACTAAATGTGTTTTAAACCATTTTGTTTGGCATAGATAGCCACGGATACGTCCAATTTTCCGTATGACAGTACTAAGTCAGCCTTAGGAAAGTTGTTTTCCACTCGTTCCATTGATTGATAACGTTTGCTTTTGTCAGTTTGTATGGACTTCCCCTTTTTTAGTTTACCTTGGAGTTAAGTATTTTTGTTATATGTTTTTATGTATACTTTTCTCTATCAAAACATTAGTAGATCTTTTATAATTACAACGAGATAAGCAAAACTCATACTGTATAGTATTCTGTAAAAAAACCTGGCTATGACAAAAAAAAGTAAAAATCACAAAAATACCAAACTGAGAGGAAAACCCAAAACGGAAAGTCCCTAATCAAATTTCATAATCAAAAAATTATAGAAGAATTAAAGGGAGAAATATTACTTATTGATTTATGTAAAAAAAACAAGAAAAAAAAAGAACAACAAAACGATATTATGATAGACAGAAACCAACGACAGTAATACAGGGCATATACTGCCGTAGACGCATTGACATTACATTTCGGATTTTTCGATATTCAATATTCTTCTAATTTGTACTAGATTTGACCTTCAAAATCTCAATCAAAACAATACAGCATGATTCCATACGGTCAGTGTCTACTAAAATGTGTTAAACAAATAATATCAAGAAGTTGAACAGTTTTTTTTTTGTAGAGGGTCAATTTTCGTAAAGAAGGCAGATACTGGTGGTTAGTTTGTACTATCCAATATGGTTGGTAATGTATGCTTCCATATATGTCAATTGTTCAAATGTTTTAAAATATAATTCATTTAGGGTCATACGATACAGTTAAAGGTGAGTATATGTCGTCTTCAGCGTAGAATGTTATTATGGAGACGTTTAATTGAGACATATTTGGAAAAGATGCATTTTTCGACCGATTTCCATCATTAGCTCGAACATGAATACATAGATCTTTCTTTATGAAAAATGTCATTTGGCTTATGTATGAGGATTGTTTGTATCAACTTTTATGGACAAATCACTGATGGATTCTTTTAATTTTAGATTAAAAAAAAAACAGCAAAAAAAGATTTTTTGTGTATAAAATCTTGAAAATTTAATAAATATGAATAATTTTAAAGGCTTGAACACATATTTAAGGCAAAATTGTGTAGACAAGATATTTTAATATACCAAATTATGTTTATCATTTGAAACAAAACAAGTAAGTTATGTCTGTCCAAAAAATAGAGTTTTAAAAAAAAAACTTTCGAGTAAAAGTTTGAATTTTCGAAAAGAAATCATCGTGGAATCAAAAAACTGTATCGTATGTCGTTAAGCACGTTAACAAGATTGAAGTATTAAATTGATTTCGGTAGATAGGATTTTTTATTAAAACGAACCGGTGTTCAATGAAGCTATAATGGTCGTTTCATTATGATTTGAGGTTCAAGACTACTTCCATCGCCACCAGTTTCTGGGAACAAACAGTCAAATGATGACCATAAATTTGGTATGAATAGTTACATCAAGTGTTTAACTTCCACTTCAATATATAATATTGCTTTCGAATTTCGAATTAATCGTTTTAACAATATAGACTTCATCAAACATTCCAAAAAATAAACGTTTTGTTAAGGTAATAAACATGAAAGGAATTAATTTCCCTCCAAAACGAATATGAACTGCCACATAACTTATGCACACTATTATATTTCAAGATATTTCCTCTTACAGGCAGCAATTAAATAGTACGTATAGTCGTATACAATGAGCGGAATGCATACCGTTTAGTATGCTTGAAAATACTCGGAAAAAAAATCAACAATTTAAGAGAAAAATCAAACGTTTTACTTTGAAAAGAATAAAAAAAGAAAAAAAAATATATTACAGAAAAACAATAGCGAACAAACCCATGCATATATTCCTTAGGTGTTTTTAGTACAATTTGTGGGGACGTTTTGGTTATTTATTTACTTACACTTCGAGGTTTCAGCTGCCTTTATATTAGGTTTTGGACGTTCCTGATGCTAGTGAGTCAAGTGGTCTTAGTACTGTATAGGGAATTCTAATATGATGTGCTTCTTTCGCTTTGTAAACAACACCGTGATGAAATTCTTGATATATCTATACTTAGCGCGGACTCCGAGATGTACATAATAATGGCTGTTAAAATATACCTCCCTCGTAAATCCGCATGTATCGTAACCTATGTGCAATTAAACGCTTTGTCGATTTCGTTGTGTTAAAAATTGCAATTGAAAAAAACCGTACAGAATCTTCATTCTTATTATGAGGTATAACAAAAAGAAATAATGCATTAGAGTTCGGAAAAATGTACAAATCAAAATAAAATAAAATTTCGCGAAATTCGATTGATTTTGCCGCATTAACGTCATTTCAAAACATGACGTCATACAAATGAAAACGCCACAGCTGAAGGATTGTCTGTTGCGTGGACCCTCCAAATTCGGATAAGACTGACTTACAATAAAGTTTTGAGGTAGGTGTTGTTTTTTTTCCCTATAATATTGCATACACCTTATCGCGTTTTGTTCGCAATTACTGGACATCACAAAAGTTCCCGTAAAATGTTGACGTCATAATAGAAAATAGCTGACGCCAAAATGGAAAAGTGATTGTTTTATGACGTCAAAAGTTCAAGCAGCGCAGATTCTCGGGTCAACGGGCGCAGATTTCCAAATAGCGATAAGGTGTATTATTCGCATATTTACTGATTTCAGCATGATAACATGGCGGCTCCTTAGTTACAAAATGTCAACAGCGAATTTGATGGTAGCTTACGAGAAATAATGTAGATTAAAAATGGCAAATGCTAGGTTTGAGAAATACAAGAATTAAACACATTTTTTTTCTAGCGGTTATTTAAGAAATAATTCATCAAAGCTACAGATGTATTTGATTATTTTAGATTTATCTAACAGGGGGTAAAATAGAACAGCCACACACACGGCATACCCATCCTCGCTTCATTTTTTTAATGACCGTATTTGTCCTATTAGAATCGAAATAATTCATGGAAGCCATAGATTTGTTGTAAATGTACACATGGCCTGGGCCGTGATATTCGTTAACTTTATCCCTTGCTTACGCTCATGATAAAATTCGAATATCACGGCCCAGGCCATGTGTAAATTTCCAACAAATCTATGGCTTCCATGAATTATTTCTTAAATTGAATATGTTATTATGTTTAACAATAAGGTACTATAAACTATAACAACTTTGTTTGTTGGCGTCCTGTTTGATTTAATTGTATGTTTAGTTGGATTTTTTTAGTCTTTGTGTTTTATATCTATAATGTAAGTTCACACAATATAGGCCGCCGGATCGGTTTCGGTTGATTACACAATTCTGTCAATATAACGGAACCATAAGCAACTGTTATACAAATAGGACTTTTACCATATTATCAGACAAAGGTTTTAATCCACATTGTCTTTAGAGTGTTTGGTTTTGTCTGGTTTATCGGTTGTACTATATTATAATAAAGACAAATGAGATGTAGTATGATTGTCATTGAGACCACTGTCCACAATAGCCAAAGTTCAAATGAAAAGGATAAACGCAATTATAGGCAACCGTACGGACTTAAACAATGAGAAAAATCTATACCGTATAGTCGGCTAAAAAAGGCGGGATATGATAAAATATTGTTGGTAGTTCATGTCATTTGAATTTGTATAATGAAACGTACACCTGGAGACATAAATTGCGTTGTTATAAAACCTCACGAAATATATCATGCTTAAAATTATGCACGCCAGACGCACGCGCTTTTTTATCAACATTTGTCTCGACAATGGCGCTCAAATCAAAATAGTAAGAAGGCAATTTAGATAAAAAGTTGGAGAGCATTAAAAACCCAAAATTCAAAAACATTGTGCCAGATACGACTAAAGATATCTTTACCTGGGGGATGAAAAACTCTAGTGATTCAAATAATTCGAACAGTTGATTTACAGAAAAATTAATATATAAATAATATTATATGCCAACATAACAGTGCTGACTACTAGGCTGATGATTCATTCGAAGTATTGACCAAATGGTTAATAAAACAGTTAATCCTATCCTGTCATTATTCAAATTTTAAAATTAGAATATTTGAGCAATTTCAAAGCTAACATTATTGACGTACTTAATTGATTACGGCTGGGTGGTAACGTTATTGATACGAATCGGTCTTCAGTGAAACTATAAAGGTCATTATATTCGTTTTAGGTTCAAGACCACTTCTACCGCCATCAATACCTGAGACCAACCAGGCAAATGATAACCATAAATCTGGTATGGATAGTTATAGCCAGTGTTAGGCTGCCCATTAAACATATTCGTTACATTAAAACTTAGAATTGTATCAGGTTTACAGTAACAACTTCATACACGTTCATAACAAAACGCAGAAGGGAGGTACTTAATATGAAAGGAATCATTTTTTCCGAAACAAACGTAAATTGCTTCATCACTTATGCACTAGATTTATATATAAAGATATTTCCCTACCGACAAACTTTTTGAATTTTTAGTTGCAAAACATTTTGCAAAAACGTTGGCATGCCACAGTCTTTAAACTGTAGAACAATCTGAAATTTTGTGACATCAAATTGTTCATACTTCTTAAACACAAAAACAAAACTAATTAGGTATGACCGTAGTCTGCAAATCTTAACCTTTCTAACCCTTATGAATTCATTGTCATTAAGTATTACCAATACCCATTGTGTCTGTTTGTTTTGTTCACACATCGTTGTCAATGTAATGGAACTTTATGCGACTGTCATACAAGTGAGAGGTTTAGCTAGCTATAAAACCAGGTTTAATCCACCATTCTCTACATAAGGAAATACCTGTACAAAGTCAGAAATATGACAGTTGTTTTCCATTCGTTTGATTTGTTTGAGCTTTTTGCCATTTGATTAGGGACTTTCCGTTTTGAATATTCCTCGGATTTCTGTATATTTGTGATTTTACTTTTTATCTACTAAAACTAAAACTCAATGTTCTATCTTCTCTAAAATCGTGTAACTGATTTTGTGTCAAATTCAAGTAATTACAATGTGATTGTCAGGAGTGGCTAAAATTGTAGAACAAGGATTTTAATTTTTCTTCAAGTATTTCTTACGGCTTCCACTCAACACAACGATTGTTTTACTGACAAGTAATTGGAATATATAAGAAGTTGGTCATCGTATTATATTCGATTGTAACAACGATTTGTGTTTTTATAACAACCACATAAACTATGCAACATTTTCAATTGTACGACATCAACAAAAAAAAAGACGATTTAAATATAACAACATGATTAACTTTCAAGATATAAACAGTTGACGCTTGTTTCTCTTCAACGAAACAAATTTTGAAATCACCAGTTCTTTGATATAGTAAGCTTGCATCACCCTTTACCCAAGCTTTAACATGGAATGTGTTCATACACCAAAAACTTCCTTTGTCATTCTATCCCAATCGTATAATCGATCTAAACTTGACACTAACGATGGTTGTGATACTATATTAAAACCAGTAAATTCATTTTTTCATACCGTAGAGAGAAAAACACAATCAATCAATTAATTTATGAAAAGATAAACCGAAAGTTTTATTTATAATTATATGCCAGTGAATGCAGGGTTGAACAAATAATTCTTATCGTTTTTATATTTTTGTTTTGTTTTTGTTTCTTGTTGTTTTGTTTTTTGTTGTTTTTTGAGTGGAGGTGGGGAGTGGGGGGGGGGGGGGGGGGGAGGGGGGGGTCATACATGTTATTTTTGTATTTCAACACTTGAGAAGAAATTCTCATACATGAATACAGTGAAGAAGAATGTCGGGAAAATTGATACTGGCGCCAAGTAAATCCCAATTTAATCATTTGATTAACTTGTCACGTATGCCCTGATATGTATATCATTCACATTATTTAAAGTATAATCAAATAGATAAGTCATCTCTCTTAAAGATAACAAAAGACATGCTAGCATTTCTATCACAACTGTTACATTTTGAAAAAGTTACACGTTCATCAAATGATTAAATGGAGATTAACTTGGCGTCAGTATCAAATTTCCCGACATTCTTCGTCACTGTATTCATGTATGAGAATTTCATCTCACGTGTTGAAATACAAAAATAATATATCTATAATAGATGGTCATGTATGACCCCAATCCCCCCCCCCCCCCCCAAAAAAAAAAAAAAACTACAAAAAAAATAAAAACAAAAAACCATAAGGAATAACCCTAACCCTAATCAATTATTCTTCATACTGATTGATAATTATAGACAGATTGATATGACTCATTTTACATCATCATTTGCATACTGTTGAAGAATATCTGTTATCCGAAAAATTTGTTGATACTAAGAATCATTGTTTATTTTTGTAAAAACTAGAAGATGCCCGCGAAATCACGGTACAATTAGGCAAGTGTGGAAACAAAGAGTTTTTAAATTTTGCGGGCAGTACATCGACTGAGCATGCGCGAAATCGTATAAGACACGGATCGATAACGGTCTCCGAACTGAGATATTTTCTCAAAAATTTGGCGTTTTCTGTAGGAGAAGATTGATTTTAAAGACAAATTTAGGAAGTTCCAAACACCACATTTAAACGTCATATCACATATATTTCCGATTTTGTATGGTTAAGAGGAGTTGCGGCTTAATGAAATCAGTCTCTTCCTTTAGTAGTATACATTGGTGTTGTTTTTTACACTTTTTAGGCGTATTTAAATATATATAAATATATATTCCTTTACAGTCCTTTTTATTTGAATTGATTTGCATGCTTAACGTCGTAAATTGTCAACATATAAACTATCGGTTTCCCTTGTATTTCATCTAAGTGTCTTTTTGTATTGAATTCACGTGATTAAGGTCGTAAACTAACCATTCATAAACTATCATTTTTCATGTGTTTGTTAACTATGCGTCCTTTTTTTTTTAGTCAGTCATATCTGACTTTTTATTTAATTTGATCAACTATCTATAGGTTTATGTTTTGTCTTTTGTTGAAATATCAGTTCATCAAACTCAAAACTTATGTTTTTGATAGTTGATGTGTTTCCCTTTGTTTTAGTTTGATACCCGGATTTATTTTTGCTTAATCAAATAACGACTATTGAACAACGGTATACTACTGTTGCCTTTATTTGATCAAAAGGTCTAGCATTTTCATTTTTGGTGTTTTATTGAGGGAATCAGTGTGGTTCTATACAAAGAAGGATTGTTAATAACCTAAAATAAAGGATTTATATCTACAATTCCAAGTTTTGTAGAAAAATAACACTCTGTTTAATTAAACAGTGTAGTCGATTTTTCAATAGAAAATAAATATGTATATATAAAAGCAAATTTGTAAAATTGTGTTTTATATTCAAATTAGATTTTTAGATTTTTGTCTTTAAGAATCCATAGTTAGCCGATTGACACAAATGGCTTTAAAAAAACTTTACTAACTACGGTAATTTGTTTTTGCTAAAATTCCATCTTCAACCCATATAGTAAGACGACGGAAGTTTTAAACGATGTTCAAGTGTCGTAAATCGATTATCAAGAGGAACATTAAGGTGATAAAACAAAATTCATGGAACTGCATGAATTCCAAAATGAATGAGACCGGTTGCGTCAATTTGGTAAATATCTCCTTCTTTGCATGTTTCGACAAATACGTATGAGTAAATGTTGAACTCATATTTAGGGTGGCAATATAATTACAGTCATATTTGGGTTGAAAGAAAATAACATACATTTTAGGGTGAGTATTAGAATTTCAGGCAACTGTTTGTGGGGAGGTCGAGGTCTATTTTCACATTAGGCCGTACTGGTAACCAGACTTTATATAAACCAGTCCCTCATCTTTCATTTGATACCTAAATTATCAAAATAAATCCTACATAGTTTGATATTTACACCTATATGTAGGGACTATTTTGTTTCAAATATGTACTTCTTTCGAAAATGTTCTTGAACTGTTCTGATTTGATGATGTTACATCTTACAAAATCTACCCGAATTATTTTGCAAGGATTTCCGCTCAAGCCGGTGCTAGGGGATGTCTGAGACTTGCAGTTAGGTTTTTGTTCCGTGTTTAAAGCCTCATTTTTACTTTGAGATGAAGAACAGCAATAAAAGCGCTGTTCCCCTGCTTTGTGTGAGTTTTTGCTTTGCATGTTCTGATTTTTATCATGAAAGAATATCCCATAGTCTTTGTTTTCTATTTATAAAATGACATCGCAAATACAGACATGTTGTAAAATGTCTGAATTTTAAAGCAACTTATATACTGCAATACCTTATCATGCATTTTTTAATTAATTGTAAATATAAAGAAAAAGTCCTTTTGTGAAATGACTGAATTGGTTAACACAATTCAACTCATTGCCTGTTCAGTTGCATGTATTTCTTTTAAAAAATATCATTAAACACATTACCAAAAAGAGACAAAACAAAATATCTGGCAAAGGAGAAAACATTTGGTACAGTAATATTTTATTCCTCAAATACCAGCAGGAAAAGTCTGTATATAAAGATAAGGAGATGTGGTAGGATTGCCAATGAGACAACTATCCACCACAGTTCAAATGAAGTGGATGTAAGTAATTAAAGGCAACCAATGAAAAAAAAACCTTCGTACAGTCGGCATAAAAGGTCCAGATATCAAAAATATCAAATAATTCAATTTAGAAAACTAACGGCATAATTTTAAACAAAACAATGTACGAAAAACAATTATGAAATGAACTAACGACAACTACTAAACTACAGGCTCCTGACCTTGGATAATCACATATATAATGTGGAGGAGTTAAATATGATTGAAGGTGCCAATTCGCCCCTAATCTAGAAAAGTTGAGTTATGGCGCACCATAAAAACAAGCTATCAAAATCAATTAAAAATTAATTGTAAGATATATTTAACAGCAAAGGATGTGTGTGCAAAGAAACAGGACAAATTTGATAAGTCCTGTCATCCTAACATTACATGAAATAAAATAATAATTGTCAATGCTTGTGGATATTTTAGATACTTGTGTAGAATAAATTTTTACAAATTAAAATTCTCGAAATGCATGCTGTTGAATTCAATAATAATCAAAGAATAAACTGCTTTGCTTTATGACATTTGCAGTGCCTCAACTACTGTTAATATTTAATTATATGTAATGATTTCATGCATTTTGTACAATGCCTGAACAAAAAAGTTAATTTAAGAAAATCCCGAAAGCCGACAGCACTTTGAAAACAGTCTGAAGCAGATATTCTTTGTCTTAATATTCTGAGATCTGCATATTTTCGATAGCATTATTTCTTCTTCACTCGGCAGGGTTTTAATCAATGTATATGTGCCATTGTGAATATAACTCCTACAATGTGTCCATTACTTTCGACCACTCGACCATATAGAGCATATATAATAGATAGATAAAATAATAAGTCATGGTATATCAAACCACATAATGTGTTTTTTTAAAATAATCATTCATTTTATTTAATCAGATGACAGATCAGAAGGTGAACATGATCAAGAACCCGTTTATGACGAAGTAAAGAAAGGTGTGAAGTGGATTTTTTTCTTTCTCATTTAACACTTAACATAAGGAACACCCATTATTTTAACAGCGTCATTGAAACTTGACTGACACCTGTTGAATCTAATGCTGTTCAAGAATCGAATGATTCAATATTAAAACTTGAATTTTTAACGTATTTGACTACTCATTTTATAAAATTGTTATAACTTCGCCGTAATTTGCTAACAACAGGTGACAGCTTGAAAAGTATCTCTTGATTCGTTACCATTCGTCCTAAGTCTGCCATTTTATCAGAAGAATAATTTCATTAAAAAAAGATATTTAGTGTTATGCCTCCAGAATGATTACATCTGTTTGTATATCACTAAACATTTGCTGCGATGTTTAAATGTCAGCATTTATAAAAGCTATTATAATATGTTATCTATCTTTACTGCATATCTTGTGAAAATTTAATAACCTGAAAAGCAGAACACTGTTTTTTGCTTTTTGTGTTATAGGGTTTCTGTTACCTTTATGTTTTAAACGACTTTTACTTTTATTCATGCTCATTTTTGAACAATACTGTTAACTCTTTGCTTGGGTTTGATGTTTCTGTAGAAAAACTCATGTCATCAAGCTAACCCGATGATAATGTTTAACCTCAGCAGGATGTGTGATTGAATTCCAAGTTAAGCGATAATCTGTCATAAAAGAGACGCGAAAGATACGAAGGGGATACTCAAAATGATAAGTCGAACATAAAATGGCAACGTCGTGGCTAAAACAGAAAAGTCCAAACACACAAACAACAAACAACAAACAAACAGTATACAAAACACAGAAAACAACATAAAAACTGGCTGAGCATAAACATTTACCAGTATATATTTTTTATAACCTCCAAAAGCAATAATAAATACTGTAACTATACTTTAATATTATTTAATGTTTTCCTTGTTGTAGATACCGTTAACGATAGCTATACTATAATGTCAGCTGGTAATAATGACATAGTCCCCGTCACAAGTCCTGAGCTCAACCTTCCAACAGTAAGGTTAACTGGACCACCACAATCTCCTGATTCCTTGATATCACAACTGGATAATAGTAATTTATTTTATATTTAACAATCTTACAAATCAAGGGTATCACATATTCTTTCAATCTATGATAATTGTGTTAACGGATATTGTTGAAATAACATGGTTTCCTTGATATCCAAGCTTACTCACCAAGAACAGTAGTATGGTAATCCGACTTGCAACCAGCTAAAAAATTACGTATCCTCGTTCTCATGCAAAAGTATATTAAATTTTGTAATTTAAGGATTTCGTTTGGTAATTTGAATGCGTGTTAGCGAGATTACGATTTAGGTGGATACGTTTAAAAGGTTTTCTTATATTCGTTGACAATTTTCAAAAGACGTAAAAAACGACAGTGTCAATGTTATCATCTTCGATATATGTAGTTTCTTTTGCAATATTCTATAAGGTAGTTACTTAAATATCAAAAACCGTGATATTTGCTCAATTTGCTAATGACAAACTAGCATGATTTAAACGATGCATAAATCATTCTTCTATCTTCAAAACAGTATGTATAATGAATTTTGACCTTCTATTTCAATGATTCAAAGCACTTCTGCAATTGCCAAATATATCTGAATTTTACAACAGACAACTTCATTCGACTCTCCCGGAAACAAAAAATAAAAGCAAATACAAGCAACAACGAACATATGACCTAGATTGCCAAACCCCCACCTTCTTAGAATTTGTGTGTGGACCACTCGTTTGTTTTATAGACTTCTTTTTCTTCTTGTGTTTTACCATGGTATTGTCGATTGTCTACTAATATTTGAATTGAATAACCATTTGTTATTTTAGTTTAAGTTAGAATATACTACCTACATTGTGTCAAACACTTTAGACCACTCGACCAACAAGGCTTTACTGAATTAATTTTTCTCTTTGCTCAGGCAAATAACACCATATAGAGCATATAAAATAGATAAATAAAATAATAAGTCATGGTATATTAGACCACATAATGTGATTTTTTTTGAATAATTATTTGTTTTATTTTATCAGAAGACAGATTTGAAGGTGAACATGATCACGAACCCGTTTATGACGAAGTAAAGAAATGTGTGAAGTGCTTTCTTTTTTTCTCCTTTAATACTTAAGGATGTTTGCTACTCTGTTTCAAAATAAAAAGCTTTTTAAAAGACTGCTATAAATTGATAGTATATGAATAAAGAAACTAAAAAAGCAGAAAAAAATTAAGGGTCCATGTGCTTGTTTTCGAGATATCAGCCATTGAAAATTTGGCAGGAAATAATTCTCTCTAGATTTTTCATTCATTCATCTAAAAATGGCATCTTTTTTTCTTTCAAAACCAATTAAGAAATAACAAGTATTTTATAAGATTTTCAAAAATGACACTTTCACTATATGTTATCAAATTTTGAAAAAAAAAGTAGGGGTTAAAGAGCAAATATTTTAATGGCACTGCATGAATAAAACCGGAGGATTCCGAATATCTTGCAAAAACCCCAAATCCAGAGGAGCGAACATCCTTAACATAAGAAACACCTATTATTTTAACAGCGTCATTGAAACTAATTGAACATTTGCTGTAAAACATACAAAACATTTGAAAATGACTTAAATGAAGACTTATCTCTTCAAAAATAATTCGGAGGGTTGACTGACACCTGTTGTCTCTAATGCTGTTCAAGAATCGAATAATTCAATATTAAAACTTGAATTTGTAGGGCATTCGACTACTCATCTTATAAAAATGTTTCAACTTCTCCGTAATTTGCTAACAACAGGTCACACCTTGAAAAATATAGGATTTCTGTTACATTTATGTTTATTCGACTTCTGCTTTAATTCATGCTCATTTTTGAACACTATTGTTAATTCTTTGCTTGGGTTTGATGTTTCTGTAGAATAACTCATGTCATCAAGCTAACCCGATGATAATGTTTATCATTAGCAAGCTATGGATTGAATTCAAAGTTAAGCGATAATCTGTCATAAAAGAGATGCGAAAGATACGAAGGGGACATTCAAAATGATAAGTCAAACATAAAGTAGTGATGTCATTGCTAAAACAGAAAAGTCCAAAAGACAAACAACAAACAACAGTATGCAGAACACAGAACACAACATAGAAAACTGACTGAGCATAAACATTTACCAGTATATGTTTTTGTTTTTTATGATCTTCAAAAGCAAAAATAAATGCCGTAACTATAGTTTAAGATCATTTAATGTTTTATTGTTGTAGATACCGTTGACGATAGCTATAATATAATGTCAACTGGTAATAATGATATAATCCCCGACACAAGTCCTGAGCTTAAGCTTCCAACAGTAAAGTTATCTGGACCACCACAATCTCCTGAATCCTTGATATCACAACTGGATAATAGTAATTCATTTCATATTTAACAACCTTACAAATCAAGTGTTTCACATATTCTTTCAATCTATGGTAATTGTGTAAACGAATATTGTTGAAATAACATGGTTTCCTTGATATTCAAGCTTACTCACCAAGAACAATAGTATGGTAAACCGACTTTCAACCAACTAACAAATAACGTATCCTCGTTTTTATACAATAGTGTATTAAATTTTGTAATTTTAGGATTTCGTTTGGTAATTCAAATGCGTGATAGCGAGTTTCTGTTCCTAACCGCAACCGTCTTAGAATTTGTGTATTGACAACACGTTTGTTTTCAAGACTTCTGTTTATTTTTGTGCTTTCATCACGGTATTGTCCATTGTCTACTAAATTTGGAGTTGAATAACTATGCGTTATTTTAATTTGTGTTTCTCCGATCTGATGTTTGGCGAAATCAACGAGTGATGTCTTAAAATCAAATATGTTTCAAATTTGGTTCACAATCATCCTTATACATGAGAAACTGTTTTAAAGAAATATATTTTTAGTTACAAATAATATCTGTTCATGGTTAGAATGTAAATACGTAAAGATATTTTGATTCGATGTAAACTGAGTTTAAATTAGCATGTCGGTTGATGCATGCATAGCAGTAGCCGCTTACCCTGTCGATGCAACCAATCCCGCTGTTTTTTTGTAATTCATGCAATACCCACAGTATTTGTCTGTTACCTTGAGTTGTCTCTTTTCAATCAATTACTAGATTTGAACATCAGTAAACTATATAGCTACTGACGCCTCATTTTGTAGACAAATGAAATAAACCAGTTTACAATGCACAGAAATTTCCCCTTTGCCTATACAAACTATAGTTCCTGAGACTGAAACACACGCTACAAAACCGGCACCGTGTAGCTACCAACAGGCAAACCATCACTATCTAAACAAGGAAATAAAAGACAGCACTTAACATAATGCTAACACTGTTATCATTTCCTCTATTGATCAGCTGATTCATCCATATCACGTCATGTTTGTCTGATGCCATTGTAGTTAAACAAACCGTGTTTAGAAGAAGTAATAATTTGTATACTGGCATATATATATATATAACTATAATGACACTGAACTGTCAATTTTCTCTTTCGTGCTATTAAACACGTTCCACATTTTCGCATATTCTGAAAACGTCCAGTAAGAGTCGATCCAATGTCATCCATGGCAAAAGATTATTACTGCAGAAAATGTATACATCAAAAACGTAGGTTATTGGGACTAAATATTGATGTAGTTCCGTTTTTTGACTGCCAATCTTTCAAGAGATCGTGATGGTATGAACAGTTTGAAAACATAGAAATTAGCATAACTACTACAGTCGAATAAGGACTTCCTCAATGAAGCTGTGTTCATCCCTTAATCTTGTTTGTCTCGTCAATTGACTATTTTAAAGCTTTGTATTCCAGGCTTTAAAAATGAAAGACGAATAGTTTTGATTGGTAAGACAGGTGCGGGAAAGAGTACAACCGGTAATATACTGCTTGGTAAGGAAGCTTTTCCTGCAGCAATAAGTCCAGTTTCTGTAACAAAGGAGTGCTGCCGTGCAGAATCAGATATTCATTCAAGGAAAATAGTTGTAATTGATACTCCAGGTCTGTTCGACACAGAACTGTCGCCTGAAGATATCCAAAAAGAAATAATACGATGCGTTACCATGTCAGTTCCTGGGCCTCATATTTTCCTCATATTATTGCAAGTTGAAAGATTAACAACAGAAGAAATTTCAACACTAGATCAACTCTTTGATATATTTGGAAAGAACATGGGCCGATTCTGTATGATAGTTTTTACCAGGATTGAAGATTTAGAAAGAGGAGGGAGTACGATCGACAAATTCGTTGAAGACGGGGGATCACTCCTTTCCGAATATATTGAAAAGTGCAGTGTTAGATATTTTGCTCTAAAGAATCCCCCTCTAAGGAAGAACAATTGCAAGTATCTACAATCTTATTTGAGAAGATAAACGAAGTTATTCTAAAAAACAATAATGAATGTTTTACAAACGAGATTTATGAAAATGTAAAAGACCGTCTAAACAAGTCAATTAAGAAAGCCTATAATGCACAAAATGATAGCAATTCAAACAAGCTGATACAAATAGAGAAAGATTGCGATCGAAAAATAAATGAAACTAGAAGTCAAAAAAAGCAATTAAGTTAACAACTGAAACATCAAATTGATATAAAGAGACAATTAGAGAGTGAAATGGAAGCACTTTTGAAATCCGGTGGCGTAGAAAGGAACCTTGACGAAGAGTTAAGAAAACTTGACTTGGCAAACGAAGCATGCAATGTGCGCATGTCAACACTTGAAAGAGAACAGGCACAATCTGAAATCCAGTACGAAGAAATCAAAATTGAAAAGAAACATTTATTGAAAATGAGGATAGACGAATTCAAAAACGAGTTCGAAGCAGCGGCTGGTATGGCCATTCAAGAACAAACAAAATTAATGGAACCACATTTTATCAAGATACTGCAAATAAAGCAGGAAATTCAAGAGTTAATAACCTGGAGAGAAAGTGGTGTACATTTATCAGATAAGCAAATGATAAAATCTTTCACATATAGAGAAAGGGCACTTAAAAAACAGAATGAGGAAATGGAGAAACAGCTAGACAAACATCTTAAACTTATGATTCGTAACGCAAAGAAACTAGAAGATGCGTTTAAAAGTACTAAACTTAATCTATGCATTATCCTGTAAAAGATATGGCCTAATTCAACCTTATCAATAAGGAAAATATGGGTCTTCGGTTGTAAAAAGAAACATAAAGATTGAAAGATAATAAAATAAATGTTATTAAATTCTAAAAAATGAATTATGGATGTATAATAAAAAAAGGTTATGACAAACATGTTGATTTAAACAATCCAATTGTCAACCTTCCTTATCCCAACAGTAACATACCCTCTGTCAAATCGTATGCCGTTTACATGTTTTAATATGTACGGTACGCTTGTCCATGTTTATATTATATGAACTTTAATAATAGGGTTGTGACCCTGACACAAAAACAAATCTACAACAGAGTTGCCGAAGAGAATAACTTAAAACGACAATAATAAAATGAATGGCTACGGGCAAAAATTGTTTTACTGAGGCGATGTGCCTGCGTCTCAGCCCCACCAAAGCATGTTGCTGTCTTCAATGTTAAGAAACAAAACCTATAATGACATATGCAATAATAGTTGTCTAATCAGTTAGTATAACAATATATATCTTATGTAGATTGTGATATTTTACTTTAGTGTGTATGCGTATGACGGGTGATAAATGTATAGCAGGAGACGCCAACACTCCTCTTGCCATACTAGGTCTTTCTGTCATAAAGCCATTCAATACTCTGAGTACAAAATGTGTGATTGAAATACCTAATCCGGAATTTTGATTTCTATGTCAGCGTAAGATAGTCGTGTTCGTAGTTTTTATGACCGCGTTCTAGTTTTACTCCTTTTTAGCTGGGGGGAATGTTCGTTCGTCACTAGAAAGTCATTTGTAGACAAAGCGCGCGTCTGGCGGATAGAATTTAAGCCTGTTGTCTTTGACAATGCTATTCCTTCAATTTCAACCTTGATTCTGGACGGATTTATGAAATTGAACATTGGCTTTCGTTACTAGAGAATAAAAGAAATGTTCAATTGTGAAATTATGATTTTCAGTTGTTTCCGTTAACCCATAAAATCATGTTATAAGTTGATGGTTTTTTAAAATTACAATTAATTATCTTTTAATTTTGTTTGCGTGATCAATGATCAGAGCATTTACTTTAAATATCAAATAACATGAAACGATATTTATAAGCAGACTGTTTCAAAAATTGCCGCAGGGCTATCACAAATAATAAAGAAGAAGAGAGAGAATATTGTCGTGTACTTATCGTATTAGCAAAAACTTCATTAAAAATGTGTAATATAGATAATTCTGCGGCAAGTTTGAATTATCTTTCCATAACCACAATTAACTTTGTCTGTGGGCAATCGGAAACACATTCATACATTGTCCAAAATTAGTGAACATTCAAGACTTGTTTTTCAAGTCAGTCTTGAAACTCGTTTGCCTTCTGAATCAATTAATTGTCGGTGATGTATCTTTACACATTTTTGGCTGCCGGATCTAAATTAAAGTCACTTTAGCCAATTATTATAAAAATGAGGACATGTGGTATCACTGCCAATGAAGCAAATACCCATTAGGGAAATGCAATTGGAGTTAGTAATTATGAGCCAATATACGGCCTTCAACAATGAGAAAATCCAAACCGCATAGTCAGCTATAAAGGCGCCCCAACATAAGAAATGCGAAAAAATTCCCATGAAGACAACTAACCGCATAATGCTTTAAAAACAGTAAACGAAAAAGATACAAAAACCAATGAAAACTACCATACTAAAGGCTCCATTATGTCTGTTTGGGTTGATCACCGATTTTTTTTTTAAATGACGTAACTATAAGCAACTGTATATTTTGATCATTTTGTTTTAATTATACGGTTATGTACTATAAAAACCAACGCTACTCATGTAGAACACAGCCTTCTTTTTACAAAAGAATCCTAAATTTGTGCGAAACATGCAATGATGTTTACTTTTTCTTCAATGTTTTCATCAGATCATAATAAATCGCACATATTGCAATAAGTAGTACAGATACGTTTTCAGATAGTATTTGTGATTTGAAATGCGGGGGTGGATAAATGATATCAGTGCTTTAAGACGTCATCCCATCGAAATTGACTGGGAGTTCCGCCTTCATCATATGGCATAATCATAGGTACCTTATTCGTTTGATTTGAACCACGTGACTTTGGACCTTTTTATGAAATTACTGCCCTTAGTTGTAGATTGAAAATATAAATTAAGTAACATTTGCGGATAATCTAGTCCTTTCCCGTCTTTGGTCTAAATTTAACGTGTCTTTAAAAACTTTCTTTGACGATTATTCACAAATATGTTGTGTAGTTCTAATGGAAAATGCTTAAAATTTGACTATTTACGAAATAGGAAGGATAAAATCATCATGCTTTAAAACGAATTTGGCCGAAAATGTAAGAAAGAAGGTGAGATGAAAGTCCAAACTCAAAAGCAAAAAATCAAAAGCAAAAACAAATCAAACGAACGGAAAACAACTGTTATATTCCTGACTAGGTACAGACACATTTTTTCATGTAGAAAATGGTGGATAAAACCTGGTTTCATAGCTAGCTAAACCTCTCACTTGTATGACAATCGCATTCGTTACCAACAATGTCTTGATCGAAATTGGTTCTGCACAAACATGACAGGTCATATGACAAAAAAAGGGTGATGAGGCTGCCTTTTTGAATTGTAAAATCTTCGGTAATCTTAACATGATAACTCTCTTGCGGTCACTGTACTTGTCGTCAATCATATACATTCACATTCTAAGTCATTTGTCTTCCACTGACGCAAGCCCGGAACTGATAATAGGTAGCTAAATGGATGTGGTCATTGAGAGTGTCACTACCGTTGGTAGATATCACATTGCAATGACGTCATTTATCATTTATCAAACAAGGCGATATCATCTTCGAAACGGCTAACAACTATTTCAAAGATATGGCTATAGCTAAAGGATAACGATAAGACCCCTTTGCATGTTTATTGGTAAACTGTGACACAATTTTATACTCAGGAACTCACTCTTCCAGTCCATGGCAGTACTTAGACCATACCCATATGGTCATGACCATAGGCGAATACATCGAATTTGATGCGACTATCATACAAGTGAGAGGTTTAGCTAGCTATAAAACCAGGTTCAATCCACCATTTTCTACATAAGAAAATGCCTGTACCAAGTCAGGAATATGACAGTTGTTATCTATTCGTTTGATGTGTTTGTTTTTTTTTTATTTTGCCATTTGATTGGGGTCTTTCCTTTTTGAAATTTCATCGGAGTTCAGTATTTTTGTGATTTTACTTTTTTCATATAATCTGACCATACGTATATGCTCGGACCTTATGAGGATATACTCGCTTGGTTTTGAACGTGCCAGACGAAATGGGTATTCAAACCATATAGGTTTTTTTAATTAAATATAACGGCAACTCCCAGTTCGTCTCCGGGCTAAAATAGGCACAAAGTACTATATTAAATCCTTTATCTTTGACATTTTGTCTGAATGTTTGTGTATATGTTATCTTGCCTTCGATTAATTCATTTGAATTGATTTTATCTGGTCGACCTTTTCGTCCTTATGTTAAACCGCATCTGTAAGGAACATAACCTTTTTCTGTTTTACTTTTTACCCATGACTTGATAAATTGTATCTTTATTATGTATTTCAATTTTTACTTATATTCACTTACTTGATGTGTTTTTTCTCCTACCATACGATCATATAATGACAGTATGTGTTTAGTGCTGCCCTTTATTCCTATTGTCAACAAATAAATAAAGGGGCGGCTTGTATAAATTATTCATAATACAAAATCGTATACATAGGAGCATGACCATGCACATTTACACAAACTAAAAATGATTTCTAATGTTTGAAAATTTTTAGTTTACATAAAAAAAAATGTAAACAACAAAAACAAAAAGAATTAAAAGAGGGTTCAACCTTAATGCCCGAAGTGCCTGTTAAAAAAACAGTTGACTGTAAGTTTAACTTTTCTTTTAGATATTTCTTCACGTAATTTAAATAGTTATCCAACGTCTAAGTCGACACATCATGTTTTGTAGGAAAAAAATCAATATTTGCGGCGAGTAAAATTTAGATTATTTCATCATCATATAACAATGATTACCATGTGAATAAATTAGTATAAAGTTTATTTTAAGACATTCTTAATTAATGACTGCCTCGAGTGTCATTAATATCTTTGGCACTTTACAGTAAAAGCAATTTTTCGTATTTATTACCTAGATTATACGCGTATGCTCGGATTTTATGAGTATATGGTCTGGAACATATTAATGAAAACATAGTTCATACTTATGAAAGAAGGAAATTTCATTGATGCACCATCTTTTTAAATCAATCCAGAATTACAAGTACTTTAAAGAAGGACACAGAAACGTTGTCCTCACATATGAACATGTGTAGCTAAGTTAAACTTAGTATTTGACCATGACTTTCAATGAAAAGTATTCTTCCGTATATGAGACAAATCTTTGAGTA